TATTGACTTTATTAGACCCACTTTTTATTGGGGCTAATAAATGTGTTAAAGTTAAATTGTTGATGAATCATGTTGACCTATTGTTATATTTCTCTATCTGTCTGCTAACTTTCATATTTGCTTTTTTTTTTTTTGTATTATTCCTCTTACACAAAGATCAGAGATTGTTGTGCTTCTTACTCAGATTTCATTTTTTGTTGTTGTTGTTTGTTTTAGAAATCTTTTGTGACAAAGTTTGCCAATCTCACTGTTGTTGCACTCATCAAAGGTAATAAGATAAGTCAGGGTAAAAATGAGTATGGCATCCAGAATTGGTAACAAGAGCTGCCAATGGCTCTGTTATTAACTATAGATGGGAAAAGGGATGTTTCCTCTACGTCCCCAGAACTGAATCCATTAATTTGATCTGATGCAGAATCGTGTTTATCAGATGTATTAGGTTATATATCATTTTGAATTAGGCCAAATTAAAGGAGTTTCTGATCAATATGTGAAACGCCAGGTTGTTATTCTGGCATATTGACATAAAGCAGTTTTACTCACACTTAAAATATATCAATATGAAACAGAAACAAAAAGATGTAGTGTATGACTTCAAATATTGACACAGGCAATAACATATGTCTAATGCTGATATCATATTTTTTCAAAGAATATCTAAATCAAAATGTTCTTGTATCTAAATGTCCACTTCATATGATCTCACAGGGACACGAGGACAGCTTCAGATTAAGTTTCATTCAAAGACATTACTGACATCTAGTGGTCATCAGGTGAACAGCTAGTGAAATTGTGCAACATAAACGCTGTAAAAACAAAAAGTCATAATAACATAAAAATTCGAAGTTAGTTTAACTCAAGTCCATGAAATGTTGTGTTAACTCAGTATTATACGTTGATGTCACCTCAACTAATTGAAAGTTTTCCAACTTTGAAAAGAGATTCATATTAACTTAAAAATGACGAGCTCTGTCGACAAAACAACTGGCCCCAGTTTGGCCCCCACAGTAAAAGTGTCTGAACATTGTCGCAAGGCTTGATTACTTTTTTAAAATATGTGAAGCGCGGGTCCTTTACTATTTCATATGTGTGCATGTTGTTGCTGGTAGTGATGATGATGGTGACAATAATGATGATGTTGTGGAAGAATATTATAATCATTGCTATAACCTGACGTTACTTATTCATTCTTTTTTATATTATCATAATAATAATATAAAACATATTTACATGTTTTGTGGTTTGTTTTTTCCTTTCCTCTTTCTTCCCAGTCTGATTTTCCCTCAGAATCTCCATAGCCTTCACCAGAGAACAGGTGGGGGATGGACAGGTGAGGAGACACAGAGTGGAGGGGGTAAGGATCAGACAGGGAGGAGACACAGAGTGGAGGGGGTAAGGAGCAGACAGGTGAGGAGACACAGATGAGGAGGGGTAAGAGCAGACAGGTGAGGAGACACAGAGTGGAGGGGGTAAGGAGCAGACAGGTGAGGAGACACAGAGTGGAGGGGTAGGCAGACAGGTGAGGAGACACAGAGTGGAGGGGGTAAGGAGCAGACAGGTGAGGAGACACAGAGTGGAGGGGGTAAGGAGCAGACATGGGAGGAGACACAGAGTGGAGGGGGTAAGGAGCAGACAGGTGAGGAGACACAGAGTGGAGGGGGTAAGGAGCAGACAGGAGGAGACACAGAGTGGAGGGGGTAAGGAGCAGACAGGGGAGGAGACACAGAGTGGAGGGGGTAAGGAGCAGACAGGTGAGGAGACACAGAGTGGAGGGGGGGTTTAAGGAGCAGACAGGGGAGCAAATGGAGTTGGAGAATGGGTCTAGTGTTGATACTGAGCAAGCAGGTAAAGTGAGGGGCTGTACTGAACCTGCTGAGGAGGAGATGGAGGAAGAAGAGTCTTCTCTTAGTAAGGAAATCAAAGACTAGTGAAAATGTTTCACTGGAAGAAAAGACAAGAACAACAAAGAAAGCAAACAAATCAAAAGAATCTGATCCAGGATCAGAGGTCAGTGCTGATGAGGACTCTCCCCATCTCACTGACAGTGAAAAGTCTGAGTGCAGATACTCTCAAACACAGAAAAACTAAAGAGACTACAGTGTAGAAAAAATTAAACTGTTCCTACAATAAAACAAAAATATGTGGGGTGTAAAAATAGAAAATTATTTCCCTGATAAAAGGGATCAGGAAACTTACAGATTAAGAAAGTATGTGTCCAAACTGAGACAGGAACTGTGTAACAACATTGGTTCTGACTGTGATGATGATTATGACGAAAACAAAGAATTGTCATTTATCTTTTAAAATACAGATGATTTTGTTTCTAGTCGTTCCTTTTGTAACCTCTCTCTCCATGATTAATTATAAAGTAGGAATTCTGAATTTAAATGGAGCTAGAGATTCCCAAAAAAAGAGCTATGTTGTTTGAAATAATGAAAATGAATCACGTTGATCTAATGTTCGTGCAGCAAACTCACAGTGACACCTGTACTGAGGTGGACTGGAAGAGAGAATGGGGGAGTCAGGTTATCCTGAGCCACAGTAGCAGCAGCAGTAGTGGGGGGGGGGGGGGGACAGTGTGCACCTGTCTTGTACACTGTGACAGAGGTAATACGGGGGAGGCTGCTGGTGGTCAGAGCTCTTTATGAACAATGTGAGCCCTTTTTAATTCATATTTACAGTCCAGCTACAGGAGCAGACAGAATGCCTTTTTTAAAAGAAATGAACACTCTTTTAAACAGTGTCACTCCAGATGTCTTAAAACAACTAATCGAAACTCATGACCTGTCTGATGTTTGGAGGTCATTTTACAACGATAACAGACAGTACACGTGGTCTCACACCAGAGATGCTTTTATTTCACTAGCTAGGTTAGATCGTTTTTTATTGTTTTAAACACCAGTGAACATTTAAAAAAAATTATGTTTTATCATGTCTGCTGGTTTTACTGATCACTCATTTGTATTGTGTCACGTTTCTATTAGTACTTTTAAACATAATTTTAACACTTCCCTGCTCCTTGATAAAAAAATGTTTTTGGAGGGTTTTAGGTTTTTATGGAGTAATTTTAGAACGACATGTCCTGATTTTAAGTGTTTAAGACAGTGGTGGGATTGTGGGAAGGCTGAAATAAGGGTTTTCCGTCAGCAGTACACTCTCAATGTCACACGGGACATCACCAGATGTGTAAAAGCTCTAGAGATTGATATTGTGGAACTTCAGTCCTTGATAGATTCCACAGGAAATTGAGGGCGTATTGATGTTCTCAAGGCTAAAAAGAAAGCCCTGACAGACCTGCTGGGCACCAGAGCTCAGGGAGCCCTCGTCAGATCAAGAATCCAAAGTGTGACTCAGATGGACGCCCCGTCCAAGTTTTTCTTTGGAATGGAAAAAAAAGAATGGACAGAGTAAATGTATGCATGGCCTTCGAACAGCAGCAGGACAGGAAGCTGAAAGAAGCTGGAGACATCCAAAGACATGCTGTGGAGTTTCATTCAGGGCTCTACAGCAGTGAGTACACTGACAATGAACAGCTGTTTGACTCTTTTTTTGTGATGGTTTACCTCGTGTCTCTGAGGACTCAAACCAGCTGATCAGAGAACCTCTGCAGCTACAGGAGCTGTCCGCAGCTCTGCAGAGCATGGCGGGAGGAAAAGCTCCCGGAATCGATGGACTCAGATTGTGTTTTTTCTTGAATTTGTTTTATAATACCAACCAGAGCCATGAACCTCAAGTGACTGCACTCTTGATTGCCAATTAAGGCCAGACAGAATGAAATCCTTAGCCGAGCTAATTAAGCTTACTTCTTCCAACTTGTTTCCATTAATTTAAAAAAATTAATAAACTGATATTCCAGCATCTTAACATTCACGTGTGTCTATTTAATTGGAGTTCCTTGTCTGGTCCATAAAGGCAATTACTAATAAGTAGCCTTAAAGATTATGAGCCCTTCATGACTCAGTGGTTTGGGGTTTCAAATAGTTTCAGCTCGTGTGCCATTGCGTAAATAATGTATGTTTTAAATCATGGCGTATTATATCCTCTCAGATGCTGTGTAATTACATTGGTCTACAAAGTGCTGCAGGCCCTTTCGTTTTTCAGGAATCCAACGCAAAGTTCATTCATGTACTTCCTCCACACAGTCTGTAAATAAGCCACTGTTTACGTTTCAGTGACATTAGCAGCTGCTCGTTTTCCTTTAAACTGGTGTAATCCATCAAAGACAGCTGGCTAGAAGGTCAGATTAACAAGGTGCACACAGTCACCAGGGCGCAGCCCAGCATGGTGCACAGCTGACCTACATAGATACCATGGCTAAAGGAGGGCAGGAGGGCACAAACATGTTTCCGGGCAGTGTAGGCCTGATTACTACTACAGTAATATTGTCATTTTACAGCTAGCTACTTTCATATGCTTTCACATACAAGAAGCTGATGAATGTGATATATTCAAAATATAAAGTTATGGATAAAATGATTCTGAAAAATACTTTTAGCCTGTTTGAAATAAGCATCAATCCACCAACAACATGCAAATGCTGCTCGGTGATCAATAAGTTAAAATATGACAATAACATCAAACATTTATTTCAAGTTGGGAGGGGTTATTTAGAGATACTAAAATATCATATGTATAATTACTACTTTTATTCAAGAGCAAAATGTGCTTGATATTTTAATTCAGGAGTTTTATATATAATTGAGAAATGTTTCTTACTTTAAACTAAAGATAAAGGAGAAGCCTATTTACAGACTGCCACTTTTAGAGCCTCCGATTCTCAATGACACCTAATGGTTATACTCATTGTCATTTCTGTTCATTCAGCTTTAAATTGATGTTAACAGGATTACACCGGTCAAAGTCAAATCCCCCCTGAGCAAACACCGTCTGGTTGTTCACGTGCGCCTTAATTGTGATCTGACCAGCCAATGAGGATCAGTCTAATTCTCTCGAACAGCGCTGATTGGATGGAACGTTTCACTCACTTCAGTGGGCGGGATCTTGTCTTCCGTCACATGCAGTGTGTCGCTCTGATCACAGCATGAAGATGACCCGCTTCCTCATGGAGGGATGCCACATATTTGAGTAAGTGAATAACTGTAAATACACCTGTTACTGTTAGTGTGTGTCTAAGAAAAAGCTTTGGAAGAACACGAGCAGTGAGACTTTTTTAAATTGGCAAGTCAAGCTCTTACCCGTTTTAATTTATTCAGTTTTTCTATTAAATTTGTGGGACAAGTTCAGAAGTTCTTTAACGCTGTTTTCAGTTAACTGATATTTCCCCTATATTGATGTTTACATAGACTAACTAGTAAACAACTTTAAGGCTTTGGTATGCAAATTATCTTTGCACAAACCAATACTGTGTGTGTCGGTGTGATGCATCAGTCTATGGCATTGTTGAAATAAATAATTACATCTTTACTTCTTTACCTAACACTTCAGGTCAGAATAATTCAATCAAAAAACATACTTAAGTAATGATAATAATAGTCATTTAACAAAAGTGGTCCTGAACATGAAAATATGACGATGTTGGATATAATAATTAATGCGTTGTTAATATGTTTGCTGCTTTCTTAAGGTCCAGTATTATTGGTGTAGGGCTGCAGCTTTACATTATTTCTTATCATGCTTATTATACTGTTTGTTTTTGTTATACTGGGTGAATTATTTGGTCCTTAAAGTTCCTGCACATCAAAACTGCCACAACAAACACTGATACATTTGAAAAGCTTGTTTTGACCAACCATCAGTTCAAAACTCTAAAGTGAATTACGTTAAATATCAGACAAGACTATACAGATACCGAAACTAAATACCCTCATAGGAGAAGCTCAATCAATTTATATTTATGTTAAATATTGCCCTAAACATTTGGCTTGGTGATAAAGTGCCGGTTTAATGACTTACTGAAAAGCAGTCCAGCTTTACATTTGTACCTTTGTGTTTTTGGGGGAAACAAATCACAAACCCATTCAGCATGGTTTTCTATTTAGTCTGATTTTACACACCTTTTTAATGTATATAATAAGAACTTAAAGGTCACTTAAACTATAATACAGAAGAGAAAACTCACCTCAATGCTCTCAAAGCATGTGTGACATTAACTTTTTTTAATCTTCTTGCAGCCGGACTCTGAGTGGAGAAAGTAACTCAGAGGAATCCGTACATAAAGGAATCACCTCCGTCTTTATCTGTGCTTTTAAAACAACATCATGGAGAGCGTTCATAATAACTTGCGTCTCTACATCCCGATCAGCGAGAGGAGCTGTGTAAGTCCATCCCTCTCTGACTGCAGGGGCCCAACTCCCCCCTTTGAAGCCCCTCTGAAGCACCAACAAGGATTCCCCTCTAATGAGGAGGGTCCAGCTGAAACGCTGAAGCATGATCAAGCAGACAACTTCAGCCAGGCGGACTTTGAGGAAACCCTCAGAGCGTTTGAAGACTCTTCTGAGACTCGTTTGCTGACTGAATTGTTGTCGTTGTGTTTGGAGAGTCAGGAGTTCATGAGCATGGGAAACCAACAGGGCACCAAGATGAAGTCGAACATTTTAAATGCACAAAGTCGGGATATGTTAATGAATTCTCCGAGAATGCAGATCCCTCTGAAGAGAAGGAAAAGACTGGATGATCACGATTACAACAACACCTTTCAGCAAAACCTAAAGATGACGCCCAATACTCCCAGGGTCTTCTGCAGGCGAGGAATCTCACAAAGCTTCAATTAATGTGTTCTCCTTCTTTCGGGGAGTGGGATTCAGAGGAGAACGACGCAACCTTTGACACTCCTGCTCCCAGAAGAAAGAGAGTTATGGGAAGTGAAAGATTGTCCGAGGTGAAGAATCACAGTCCAGAGGAGGGGAAACCTACTTGGAGAGTCAAGCTACCTTCACATTTTCATACGTCTTTCAACAAGAAGGGCATTTATTCTCCGAGAGATGACGTGTCCGAGAAGGAAAGATGTGTACCCCCTGACTCGGATACAGAACTCTCCGAGTATGACAATGATGTGTGCTCAACGTATACCTCCCCTCCAAGTCGAGAGTTGTGCAGGAAGGCAGAGCAAAACACCAGAAGCGTTCAAGAAGTACTGATGAACCAGGAAGACGGATACAAGTGTAAGGAAAAGAACAGAAAATGTACAGGGGAGAAGTCCTCTCGATGGAGGTGTAACGAGATGGAGAAGGAGGCTGCAGCGCAGAGAGTGATGGGCAAGATCCAGGAGGTGGAAGGGATCATACGCCGAGTGAGTCACACAAGTTCAGACTGGATCAAAGACGACAGCGGTATCTCCGGTGGACGTGTGGGTGAAGGGCAGAACGGATCCTGGGCTGAATTTGATTCCCAGCTGGAAAAGCAGAACAAAGAGTGCAATGTGGACAAGCCCCTGATGGTGGAGGAGCTCCGAACCTGGGTCAAGCTCTGAGCCAGAGTTTGAGAGAAGTCCTGAAGATGGAGGAGCAGAAGTAGATCCCAAGAAGACTTTTAAAAAGCCAGACCTTGGACGATCAACCAGAAGGCCGATGAATATGTCGGGGCAATCTCGACGTTTCACTTCTACCTTGCCCTCTCCTTCAGCAGGGCGAGAAACCCCCCGTGTCCGTCCCCACTCCTGGATGATTCTCCAGGAGAATCCAGCGGTTTTGAAGGCCTGTCCCCAATCCTGTCGCCTGTGTTCACATCCAGGCAGCACTCTCTCCTCTTTCCTGGGTATCCCAAAGAACGGACAAGCTCAGAGGATAATGGTTATTCCCTCGGGGGTTTATAGGCAGCGGAAGAGCCACCGCATACTCTGGAGGGACAGAAACTGATCAGAAGAAGAACACAATGTGGGAACAGAATCAGACTCAAACATACAGAAGCACAGGAGAGACTGAGGCCTGTCCAGATCTGCTCTCTTCAGGTAATAATGCTCCTCATGCTACATTCTTACAGCTTTTGATTGTTAGCTTCCACTTGTCTTTGATTGGAGGGTTTCACAGTTTCTTGAAAAGTTTCTGGGTTTGTTTTCTTAGATGTAAAACAAACAAATTATTTTTTATGTTTTCTAACTTTAAGTGTGAGTCATTTTTTTTATATCATCTTGTTGCTCCATCTTCTTCGATAATGGCACCACTTCTTATCACGAAAAAACATGTCCTTTGTCTATAAACTGATATCAGCTTCTGACTGCAGAATCTTTTGTTCTGACAAGGTTTTTGATATCTGAGCAGTTCTTGTTCACGTTTGTTGTCCGACTCTGGACCAATCTCATTAAAGTGTTGTTGTTTTTATGATGATCCTTTAGGGTCTTTTACCTGCATCAGATAAGAATAGCATAAATCGACCCTGAGGACTCTATCTAGCCTCCGTATATGAGAATCCTGCTCTACCAGTTTAGTCAACTGATGCCCAATAACTGGGATTTTATTGCTTGCAAAAGAAAACTCAGAAGAGACAAAGAGGCATCATGAAATTGCCAAAATGAAATCCCAGAATCAATCTTATTTACCTTTTCATTTAATGCAAATTTTAGAAAAGTTCCGAGCTGATCAAAGACTGCAATATTAAGAGATTTATAATGTTCCTCTAGCTTGTTCTATATGTTAATCATTATGTGCTTCATGGTCAGTCAGTCGGTCAGTCAGTCAAAAATTCCTTCTAAGTTTCAGCTACATTTAAGGTGAATCTGCTTGCATAGCAGCATGACGTGAACTTTTATCATTTGGTCGGTGATGTGAACAGAAGAGAAGGAGTCGGCTTTGTTCATGCTGAGTCCCTGACTGTCAGATTTACACATTGATTAAGACGCTTTGATTTTACTGCTCTGAACTCTTCCTGCTGGTGTCTGCTTCATCCACTGCTTTAGTCTGTCTCACACACACACACACACACACACACACACACACACACACACACACACTGTCTCTCTCATCACAGCTGCTGAAGACGACCTGAAGGATGTCTGGTAGTCTGTTAATAATGACCTCTTGCTGGTTTGACACACCAACACTTGTGTGTGTGTGTGTGTGTGTGTGTGTGTGTGTGTGTGTGTGTGTGTGTGTGTGTGTGTGTGTGTGTGTGTGTGTGTGTTGGTCTGTGAGTGTGATTGTATATTCTCTCAGGCGTAAAGTTCTGTGGAGCACCTGATGTTGATACCCTCAAAGTGCTGGATTGGCCCTGACCTGAGTCGGCCACAGTTACCACATACAGTAATTCTACAATTCATTTAGCGGACGCTTTTATCCAAAGAGACGAACATGAAAGTGAACAGAGTGTCTGATGAGGCGGCACCAGTATGGGACAGATGTCAGCGATAAGGATTGCCATGTAGAGGTCCAATTTTTGAGGGGCAATTATGTGCAAAAATCAAGAACATAATCAATGCACAGTTTCAATTAACAGCAAACAGAGCTAATGAAAGTGCTCATAAAACTCAGTAATATGTGTAATATGCATACGGTATGTTTAATTAAAAACAATGTGTTTTACATGTATAAAGCCTTCAGTGAGATCAGTACAGAGTCTTCAGCACTTTTTTAGGAATTGAAAGCTGAACCAGGCCCCGCAGCGAGACATCTCTCGGTCCCAAATAGGATTAATTCTCTGAGCTTTGTGAACACAAACACATCTTCAGAGGAGGATGATTAGAGTGAGAGCAATGAAACACCATCAAAGCCTTCTGAGGGGTTACTCTCTAAAAACCTATTGTTCTGCTCGCTGTGGTCACATCGAGGACAGATAACACATTTCCATAATCTGCCTTTGAGGAAATTGTGCATCCTCCCCAAAGTTACACATCTGGCTATCTCAGCTCTCTTTTCTGAAATAATATAGATTGGCTGAAACTACCTTCCTCTGTGCTAAAAGGCAAGTGAATCCCTGGATCAGGAAGAGGAACAAAACAACCCTTGTTTTAAAGGCAGGGTTGGTAATTTTCTCCAGATCCACTTTTTTTAAGATGTTGGTTGAAATTGTCTTTAGATCCTGACAGAAATTAATAACTCACGTTCTCTGAAAAAGAAACAAAGAAAATATGTCATCTGTATCAGTTTGTAAGCCTGTTAAAACTTTGACCAATGTCTGCCACGAGGTACCAATCTGATGAACCAATCAGACGCCTCCGGTCTCCCTGCTCGTTCTCTAACCCGTGCGTGCACTAGACCACACTCAAAGCATGTCACCGATGGCCGTTGTAGTGTTTACTTACCGCTGAATGAGACATGAGACGACGTCGTTTCCACACTATGCAAGCGATGAGCTGAGGTCCGCTTCTGGACAAACGGCGCTCGTGCATGTAAGTGAGGGGGCGTGGCTTTTGAGGGAGAACAGAGGGGAGGAGGCGGGAGCACTGAGGGAATGCTACTTTCAAAATCATGCTCGTTTTAGAAAATGACCAACCCTGCCTTCAAGGTCAAGCTGCCTTTGAACACATCAGTTTTAAGCGCAATATTTCCATCCAAATGTCCCCGCTTGACCACATGTTTCCGCTTGTGGGCGCCCTAACTCAAGCCTTTTTAGACTGTGAAGAGAATTTAGTTGTTGTTTTTTTTAGTGCCCCCTCTGGACAAAGCAATAGTTCGTAAAGTTCTTTGTTTTTGTTTTTTAAATGCAAAGAAATGAAGAGTTTGCTCTATGACTCGAGCTGAAGTTCAGTCTCATATCCTCATGGTGACACCAAAGCATAACACACAAGATTTACTGCAGGGCTCGACAACAAACACATTTTAAAGAGGGCGATGAATAAAGCACTTAGTTGTTAAAGGTTTTCAGTTTTAGCTTTAACATTTTCTAAATGTTTTTTTCCTGTATGATTCTGAATCACTGTGCTGTTTATTCAGTGTTCATACATTGTTTTTGTGTTTCATCTGTTTTTACAACATGTACTTTTAATGTTCAAACATTTGACACGATTTTCAGAAAACTTTTGAAACATATAATATCAGATTCTTTGTGATTAACTGGATCTGTCTCAGAAACAAAACCAGTTGTATGTAGTCATGATTATCCTTCTCTTTTATCATGACAGACGAGGCTCTGCAGAGGCAGGAGGAGCTCTGGCAGCAGGAGGTCGAGGAGTCTCTCTTCAGCTACAGCTCCCTCTTTGATCCCTCCAGACCCAAACATGTCGACTTCCTGCGCATCACTCCCCCCGAAGATGACATCGTTGATACACCGACATCTACACCTTTACCGCTGGAGTTTAGGGTGAGTAGCTGAACAGATCTGATGTGGAAGCCTCTCTTTCTTTCATACTGTCTCGTCTGTGTCTTTAAAATACTTATCACCATGACCTAAAAGTCTGCAGATTTCAGTCAGTGTGAGGACATAAGAGCTGAAATTAGCTGCCATAGTGTTTTAAAAAGTGCACATTATAAACCCCACATCTGCTACAAAGTGACACTAAGTGACAGTGCATAAGGAGAACACTTGGAGGTGTTAATTATTATCTGAGTCTCACGTTTGTTATCACTATCAACTTCATGTACCACATCCTGTGTTAAATCATCACTTTTTGGTTTTTATTTAGAGTGGAGCTTGGATGAATATTGAGGCCTCAGGGGTTACTTCATGTGTCAATAAAGGTATTTTTTAAATTATTTTAGTTCTATCTGAAGGCTGTAAGTCGAAAAATGAAACAAAACAGGAGGGTTTGGAGGTATACCAGACGTCAGAAGCCCATATCTGTTTTTGGTCATTTTTCAGAATGACCCGCATGTAAATGGAGTAGATGCAATATGGCCTATTGATGATTGTCCGCTTAAGGCTTCCATAGTTATTATCATTAACTATGTGGTAAAAGAAGTCTCACTGATGCTGATGCAGGTTCAACAAATGATCTCATATGTTGGTGTGGGACAAAATGTTCTTTGTGGCTACATAAGAAGGATTGAGTGTAGGTGCATTGTATAAGCAAAGTATCAGTATTAGCATGTAATGGTTGTTAAATGTTATTTAAGCTCTTAAGCTCCACATGTTTCTCTCTGTGTGTAACTACAAGTCTGAAGAAGGTGTCCCCGACTCATCTACTTCAAACATTAAGGGAGATTTTTTTTATTGGTAGAAATACAGTCAATGATAATGTGATTAATGTCCTACTTATAAAAGTTTAACCCTGCTGTGCAAAAAGTGTACTAAAATGTGAAGTAAAACTGGAAACCAAAGGAAACAACTTAAAGCAGAAGAAAGATAAACAACTCTTGAAAAACATTTTTCCATTAAAAACAAAACAGTCGGTGAAGCAGTTTACACACACACACAATAAGAACATGAAATATAAATATAACATGAATACTGGATCAGCAATTAAAGAAAATATGAATTGCATTTTTACACATAAATATAGCACGGCTGCTGGCCGACCGAGCTTTTAAGGTGCATGTCGACAGGTGCTCTCCTCTGATTGGTTGATCGTTTGCTGCAGCTGCACAGCCTTTTTTGCCTTTATTAGATAGATAGGACAGCTAAAGTGAGAGAGGAAATGTTGTGAGTAGACAGCGGGGGATGACAGACAGTAAAGAGCCGAGGTGGGATTCGAACCCACGACCACTGCGCTGAGGACTATTGCCTCCGTACATGGGGCGCGCGTCATAGGCTATCGGCGCCCAGAAATTATAGTTTTAAATCTAAACAAATATTTTTTTTTTAATTTAAAGTGAGAAAAATTAAATCGCGATAATTCTCATTGTTGTTTCATCTCCCAGGCCTAATTTTAAAAATGTTGTGTGGCATCTGAGCGTGTGCGAGCAAATCTTCTTCCTCAATTCAGAACATTTTAAAATACACAAACGAATATCAGCAACCGCATATTTTCTGTGAAGCCACCATGAGTAACTTTTCTCTGCTCTG